CTTCTCTCATGTTTTTTTCTCCCTCTTTCAAAAAAAAAAAAATAGTTGAGTTAGTGCTGGATTGGGACCTTGGCCACTTGTCTATATTTTTTCTCTTTTCTTCCTGCATGAGCTGTAAGGCAAGGGAGCTAGGACACATTCTGAAAATTCTTCCTCTTGCCCTAGACACAACATCATCCTGGAAAACAGAACTGAGACATGCAGCTCTCTGTAACCTGCCTTCATGAAACAGAAAAGCACTGGCTCTGGGATCAGAAAGGCCTGAGTTTGAATCTTGACTCTGTCACTATCTATGTGATCTTGGTGAGGTTTTTAAACTCTTTGAGCCTCAATTCTTCATCTAGAAAAGAGGGAAAATAATTGATCCTGTCAAAAGTGGCTGTGGTGAGGATTAGAAATAATGCATGGGAAGTGCACTAAATTTTCAATAAATGGTTGCTATTATTTTGCAGAACCTTCCTAAAATGCATGCTCATAAACATTCTTTTTATGTCTGTGCCATTGAGGGCACAGCAGCAGCCACGCCCTAGCACCTACGTTAATGACTCATAGCCTCAGCTCCAAAACCATCTCCTTATTGACGGGTTGACTCTTGGTAAACAGGTGATGAGTGGTTTGCCATGGCCCATTGATGATACAGTGTTCCTCATGAGACGGCCTCATCGGGCCTGACCACATCCTCGAAACATCAAAGGACACTGGCTCAACAATTAGTAGGAAAGCGGTTTTCATTATTTGGTCCAACCCATATGCTGGCCCTTAAAATGCACCAAGGTTTATCTAGGGTCAGATGAGCTTGGAAATGCTACTAATAGGGCCACCCACAGCCACATAGTTTAGTGACAGGTGTCTGGACTCACAAGAAACAAAGACTCAGAGTGCAGAGCAGACATTTTCAGCTCTTATCTGGGCGTTGCTGCTCACAATTCTCTACTTTCGTGATTTTTGGATTTCTTGACACCCAAATAAGCACACAGAGTTCTGTGTCCTCCTGGCAAAGGAAATAATACCCTTTGAAATATAGACAACTCGGGTGATGGTGGTAATGCAATGATGGATTACCTGTATTTCCTCATCCCCTGAATCCATTAGAGGGGGGGAATTGAATTCTATCTAGTCAGGGCCCTCATTCCTTTCCTTAATTGCTTTTTAAACTACTGAAATGAAAAGTTGCAAACGAGGCACATATTAGCTATTCTTCTCATCTTTTGCCCTTCAAAGGAGTTCAGCCAAAAGATGTTCAAAAGCATGAGTCACTCGTAGATTGTTCAGGGGACTGAAGGAAAATCTAATGGAATTCACAGTTTTACAGCAGAAAAGACCAAGATGGGAAATGGCCAATGTGTACAAGATTCTTCTGTGTCATTCAGAGTAATGAGATCCTGTCACCGCTTCTTCCTGAACTGCAGTCATTGACAATGTATTTGCATATTCATTTGGGAGCACTTTGATCTAAAAACCAATCATCGGAGAAGTCAGTCTAATGTCTGAGAATTGTAAGTACTTGAAAATAAAGGGAAATTTCTCTCCTAAGCTTATCTTTGTCCTCAGCATTTTTATGCCTTAAAGAAGAGGTTAGGGGCTAGCTGAATACCAAGCATATCTCAAGTGATAGGCTCAATACCTTTTATAAAAATCTGACAAAGACTTGTGGGGGGAATATTAACCTATAGTATTTGTAAATTTTATATTTGATATTATCAAGGATTAATGGCAGCCTTATATATTGTCCTGCAGATTTGAGTGGAAATATGCTTGTATTTATACTGTATATTATGATGTGCTATTTGAATTTTAAAAAATTAAAATGAAATCAAATGAAAATTACAGACCTGCAGTCACATTGACCATATTTTTAGTGCTCAATATCCACATGTGCCTATTGTACAGTGGACTCTGGTGGGGTGGGGAGAGAAAGTAACAAGCGTCTATGTTGAATGGGCCTTAATTTCCTAAGCCCAATGTGATGGCAACTTCTACAATGGTTACTTGACTAATTAGCAGCTTCTTCTATAATAAAAGCTTTTCTTCCTTATTTGTGTGAGGATTTTACTCCTTTTTTCATAGTATTCCTAAACATGGTTAAGTATGGAGAGATGGGCTTGTAAATTAAAGTCTGTGCGTTCATGGTTCGAGATCCTGTTAAGCATAGCATACAATGTATAGTATTTAACCCTCTGCATCGTTAAGTTTATCCAGATTTCTTGATTTAAAAAAAATGTGAGTCAGAGTTATCCATAAACCTGCTTCAGAAGATTGTTTCCCTCAAGGGAAGGAGGGAAGCTTCAGTTTTACACATTTATGCTATTCAGTTAACAGCATTGGCAAATTTATCACCATTTGAAATCAGCAAGAGTTGAGTTAGATAGATACAAAGATGAGCAAACAAAATGAATGGTCGGCATTTTCTGATTATGAGTTCACCCTCAAGCCTTGATGACTTAAGTCAACCTCACCTTGATGCAAAGAGGAAATATTGTGTGTTTGTTAGTAAAATCTAGTTATTATTCAAAGTTCATATGTTCTTTAAGAGATATCTCTTAGACAGTTAAAAGCTGGTATCATGCTCTCCTTACTATTCACCCTTTCAATCCCACTGACTGCCAGAATTGTTATTCTGATAGTTGCCATCAAAATGCACACCACCAAAGGGAGCACAGAAAGTGAACAAAAATTAAAAGGGTTAAACAAGAAGATGAGCATGAACAAATCATTCTCTGAGCTTTATCCAGGCGGACAAAGGTGGTGGTATGGTCTTCTTAGAGGCATATAAAATAATTAACATTTATTCTGTATGGGCACTTTTCTTATATATTCTATGTATGTTCATTTTTAATTATCACACAATCCCATTTCTCAGGGAACTGAGATAGGAATTTGCACAAGTTCCCATAACTATTCTACAAAACCGGATAGCATAGGACTACAGCCTGTGTTCTTAACCATGAGGCTAACTATTGTGTCTAGTTAAATACCTGCTCGGATATAGCCTCTGTCTTGAGTACAGTCTGGTGGGGAAGGCTGGGTCCTGGATGTGTGAGCACCTCAAATGCAGGATTGAGCCCTGGGGCATGTGTTACTGACCTCTCCAGAAGGTGGATGGTGAGCTGAAGTACCACTGAGATACTCCCTTTTGTTCTTCCCCAACTTGGGTTGTTTTTCTTGGCCAGGTGTAGAGAGAAGAAAAGCCTGCCCCATCTGCTTTATCCAGTGTGAAGCGGAGAGCTCTTCGCAGCCTCAGGGAAAGTCAGGCAGAGATAGGGTCCAGCCTCATTAGCACATTCTTTACAGGTTCTATTGTGGGTTTGAGGTCTCCAGGCACTTGTAATGGCTGGAAGGTATGCTTTGCCCTTATAAATACAAAAGTGCCTTTGGCAGGATCTAGCCTAGGCCCACAGCTTTCCTTGGGTATGGCCAAGATAATAGGCTCCCAGATACAAACGTAGGTGTCCCCAAATTAATTCATTGCTAGTAACCTGTTGGGCATACAAATAAAATTACGATGTTGTTAAGAAGCAGTCCAGGAGATACTTGATGGACTCCTACTCTGGCTACTCGGTCTGGGGAAGCTTAAAGGAATGGCACAGGACAGGTACCACAGCAGCCCTGGTGTGTTACATGGCTGGGAATTGACTCCCCATCTCTTATCTGTAGCAGGGTGACTGACAGAAGGTAGGATTACAGGGCCAGATAGGAGAGATGCTTCCTTTGCACTGCCTGGGTGGTCCCTTTGTTCCTGCTTCCTGGAAAGGATGACTTGATACAGTTTTGAAGTGGAAAGGAACCTTAGAGATCATATAGACCCACCCACATTGTGGCTTTGCAGATAAGAAAACTGAACTTTGCAATGGTAAAACAACATGCCCAAGGTCAGTTAAAAGTCAAAGATTATGATCATCATTGTCATTTTAAAACAAACTCCATTCTGTTCCAAGCTACTAAGTAGAACCAATTTGTAATACAGCTTTCTTAAAGGGCTTCAAAGCTATTTCTCAGTTAAAACCTCAGTACTGAGGCAGAGGAAATATTTTTTATTATTTAAAATGGGCACTCTACTAACTGTCTAAAGGGATGTGAGGTGGCTTGTAATAAAAGGGAAGCATTTGATGAAACTATTAAAATTTTTTTAGAAGAGGAGAAAAACATGTTGAAAGACAGAAACAAAATCAAAGAACTGCTGAAAGGAAGCATATTCATTCCTTTTATCTCTTTAAATTTTTTCTTTATTGCCTGAAGGAATAAAAAAATTAAAAGAAAGGAAAAAAGTATGCTTCCTTTCAACAGATCATGAGAACTGAATTACTCATATGAGTAATGCTCGCCAAGGAAAGAGACAGACAGAGAGAAAAAGCACTTTCCAATGAGGATGGTCACACTGCAACACTTTCTTCATCCCTTCGGGATTTTGGGCATGCATGCACACATGCCCAGCATATTTTTCAAAATACCAGAAGCATGATTTGAACTGCAGTTGACTGTGGGCTCCGACTCCCTGTGCACCGTGGTTAATCACTGCACCTCCCATCCTTGCTAGGGAGCATGCGATAAGACGTGAGTTGAGCCTGATTAACAGACACGGTCCAGTGACTTACAATACAATTTAATGACATATTAAGGTATAACAGGGCTCAAAATGGTATGTATTTTAGGAACATAATAGTAGAAGAACCAATTTAACCCAGAAACATAGGAGGAGAGACCCAGGGAGCTAACATTTTATTTATTCTTTCAACAAATATTAGTAAGTGTATTTATGTGGGGGTGCTGGGATTATCACGGTAGCTCTAGTCTATTCTGATGGAACATGAAGTAATAGGTTTTCTATAGAGGGAGAAGAGGACCTCCAATAGCCTATCCTGGGAATTAAAAAAAAAAAAGATCCCTGCGAGCAACAATGAGCAGGATACACAAATTAGAGGGTAAACAGATACTGTGAGGGGCATGAAGGAACATGAACTTGCACCTAATCCCATTAGCAATGGGGAGACAGGGAAGGACTTAAGGAAAGGAGTGGCATGATCATATTTGTGCTTTAAAAGTTAATTAAAGAAAAAGCTTTAATTATATATATATAAAAAGAAATAATAAAGTATTAGGAAAAATCAGTGAATATATAACTTTAACTTGGAGAAAAAGCTTTCAACATATGACGTCAAAAAGTTAAAGTCATACAGAAAAGACTGATAGATGTTAGTATATAAAGATTTAAAAGTATACCAAAAATTCTAAGTTAAAAGGACAAAACTTTTTTTAAAAAAATGTAAAAAGTTACAAAGGACAGATTGGGCAAAATTTAATAGCTGTGGTATACAAATGACTCTTATACCTGAATAGGAAAAAGAAGAGTGCATATCTCACTTTAAAAATAGGCAAAGAACACGAACAAGACATTTGCAAAAGGAGATATTCACATGTAAAATGAAAAGGGGAGAATGAAAAATGTTCAAATTCATGAATCATCTAAGGAAATCAAAGTAAGTAGTTATCATGTTTCTTTCTTTCTTTTCTTTTACTTTTATCTATATTTATTTTCTGAAGACTTTATTCCCATACCATAAGTTTTTGTTTCTTCAGTTTCTTCAGGGGTATCTTTTTTTCCTGTACAACTTTCTCTTCTGGGTTAGGAATAATTTTCTCCTTTTCAATGAGACTCATCTCACTGTGGCAGGGCAAGCTTATGGATGCATTAATCTACCCATGAGCTCTGTAAGTACAATGGCACATTTTGGGTGCCTTGCTCACCTGAATATGCTCAATGACGAGAGTCTACATCTAACCCCTTATGTTCAGCATTACTCTCGGCATTTCTAGGCACATGCAACAAAAATTCAGCACTCTTTTTGGGCCACCAACCTTATGTCCAGCCCCACTGTTTGACCTGTGCACATCTACCAACTCCACCATTGTAATGACGGCATGTAACTCCACTTTACACTGGTTCTGTAAAGTGACTTCCTTCAGATACTTGGTGGCTTTTCAGGTATGCATACCCCTGATGGCCTGGGCAGCTTCACAAATGTTCTTAATGTGAACATGAAGATTTAAACCTCTTGATTTGCATGACTTTGTGGGATTCTCTGGGTCAAGAGAATAGCGAACCATTTTCAAAGATCACCTTAGGCTGCTTACTAGAAGAGCAGTAGTTACCACTTTTCATTTACCAGATTGAACAAAGATTAAAAACAAAACAAAACAAAACAAAACAAAAACAGAGGATAATTCCAGTACCAGGGAAGAACTGGGGGAGAACTAACACTTTCAAGCACTACTGACTAGTGTGTGGTTAGGGGAGCATTTGTAACGTGTATCAAAATTCTTTTTTTTTTTTTTTTTTATTTGGAGAGGTTTTTGCTATAGGGCGCACGTGCGCTCACCAGACAGCCAGAGAGAGAGAGACAGAAAGCGAAAAATCACCCCCCAGGGGGGATGGCCACGCCACAATCCCCCCTCCTCCATTCTCCTCTTGGGATCCTGGGCACATGCGCACATGCGCACA